CCTTGGGGGGGGGGGGGAGGTTTCTTTCGGGAAAGAGAATTAGACAGGGAATTCTATTCCTTACTTTGTTGATGACCTATTGAATTTGAAGTTGGAGAGTTTTTAAGTTGTAGTAGTTCATGTGTAGTGGTATGTATGATCTTTGAAACTTCTTGTTTCTCCAGCAGCCGATTGCCCAACCAATATTGCAGTATAGGTTGGGAAATTTCCGATCCAATGACAGATTCCGGACACTCTTTTAAACATTTGCATTCCAGCTTGGATTTTTGACTCGGCGAAGAACTCTTCCCAGGTAGCATTAGAAATCCGATGTACGTCCGCTCTGGATCCTCACATCCTCTCATATCCGCTGGGTCCGCTAGATGGTCGTCCGACGTCTCACGGACTTTGAGAGTGGCGCGATTAATATGGAGAGCGGCGGCATGGCAGGGGACCAGGGTTCGAATTCCAGCGAGAATCACAATTTTTTTGAGGTTCGTACAAAGCACATGCGATGGACATGCGTGTGATATGCGAGGGTGGACATGCTCTCAAGCTCCTGTGAATATCGTAGGTACATACCCGCGTATATTACTCGCATGTCAGCCGGATTTGAAAAAAGCGCCCATGATGCCAAACTCTCCCGTTCAAGTGCATGATGTAGCTGCTCGTTTTGGCGCAATGACGCATCATGTAGTGCAATTCGAGCTTGATACGAGGTGTTGTTGCATAGAACTTTGCTGCTACCCATTTTTATTATATAGAATTTTTCCCCAAGCCTTTAGGTATACAGGTATATGCTTTCAGTATACGATCATGCAGCCTTGTTACTGGAAATGGACGTGTTTGTTATTTCGTTAGTTGCAAGGGAACTTTATGTTTGATGTTAATCGTACCTTGGGGTTCAGATATCCCCTATGTTGGAAATTGGAGGTTGAATAACGTAACGAAACACGGTAATTATTTTAAGTCAGCCGTCTTGGCCTCACATTGCCATATGTACCGTAAGGAATGGGCCTTACGTTAGACCTATAGTAGGCCTACTGGAAATATCAACTTGCAACGATTTTTTTTCTCTCATGTGTTCATGGTTCTCAGTGGATAATGACATTTATTATATGGCCTCTTAGGTCCAATTTCAGTGTAAAAATGAACAGTCACAGTGCTCTCCACATTCTGGAAAGTGTTCTTTTTTACTTTAATGTAAAAACTGATCACAACATTGGCCTCATCATCTGCAAGTGTCTGTCTTGGAAGGGTGAGACTGGTGATGATGGTGGACTTCTTGCTTCCAGTCAGAGAATAAGAACTTGACCCTCCAATTTCATGGCATCTAACAAGACATGATCATCATGCAGATTGCCAGGGGCCTCCATGATGTTATATTCTTTTCTCTTCAGTAAGAATGTTTTCCCACTTACTATAGAGTAGATGTATATCATACCTAATGTCTCTCCATTCATGCTTACCTCATGAGGTGTTGAGAAGGCTTGTCACATGGTAGTCTAATGGTATCTGAGATTCCTGTCTTNAAGCACACTGTGGTCAAACCATCCTTTCGCGTTCTTGTTTCATATTACCTCAGAAAACAGCAATTGGAAGTATGGAAATTGCCATCAACCTGATAATCACTTTCTCATGTTCATGATGGTTCTACACTGCCTCTTGAAGAAATCTGAAGAGCAGTGGAGATGAGACCTAGGTCTTATGTAGTTTGCCAACTGGCCAAGCCCACTGCCCTACATGCCAAGATGATGAAATGCTACAGTAAGGTTTGTGCTCTCTGACCCAAGGCATCCACGCCTGAAGGAATCCTTCTCCAAAGTGAATCTGCTGCACCTGAAGGTACTTATTTTTTTTGTCAGGCTCATGTTCTCTTACTGAAGTCAGCTAAAGTCTTCTTAACAAATTGCAAAAAATGGGCCAAAAATTGAGGGAATTCCATGTCACACTGAAGTGAATGAATTACTCTACATCCTACAACTCTATCACTCAGCACTTCCAAGAGAATCTTGAACACTAATGGAATCTGGTTCATATATCAAGGATAAAATCATTTCTATGAGAAAAGGACAGTTTTACTATCCTTTTTCAATTTAGAGATTGAGAAAAGGGCTAAGGGTGGTGTTCATGCCCCAGAGGGCTCAATATTAAACTTAAAAGTCAATGTCAATGAACTTTCTCCAGATAATGCTTCCAAAAGCTTCTGGCCCATCTTGTACACAATAAAAGAAACAAGCATGTTAGCAGACTCCTTTCATTTTCAGCTTGTGGTTTGGATATAGCTAACAAAATGTCAATATCTTTTCACAGGCCTAATGTCTTGAAGAGGCTGAGTTCTGTACCCTCTGGATGGTACATAGCTGTGCAGGATCAGCCTGAAGATGATCATCTGTATCACCTCTCCTACAAGTTGGCATTGAACTGGTGTCGTAATTCCTACTGGACTACATGCATTTGGTGAGGGGTTTGAAGGGTTCACAAATTACTCTGAAATATAGGCTTGTAGATAACAGTTTTTAGCTTCCAACAAAATCTTAGTCACATGTTTGGAATTTTTCTAAATTGTCATTCATCTGGTGATCACTGTCATTCCCTCATGTCCCATCTCATACATCAGGATACTCTTATTCTTTCCTAAGGTCTGCCTGGGAGTTATGAGGAGACATTTGCCATGCTGGTGTGGAGAACAGGGCTGCAGAAAAGCATGTCATTGGTCTTAGTTGGCCATACTGGATTCTCAACTTCTCAGATGTAGAGGTGTGTCTTGCATGGCATTTCAATATTTTGCCTTTTCCATGTGGCCCAGCTGTTCCTATTTGTAAATATTGGCTTTTGTTTCCTCTTGACAGGCATCAATTGCTCTTGGTTGTGAATTTGTAAAGTTTCCTAATGAGGCATGCATTAAAGTTCTGTTTTTATTGTGCCTATTGCTAAAGAATTTGTAAATCATCTTGATACTTATATTCAGTTTCATGTTGTGCATCGGTCAAAAGGGAGCACTTCAATTTTCACCCCATACAAGAAGTAACTGAAATTAGCAAGAAATCAGTTGTTAATATGTGATTCCCAATGAAGGAAGTCTTCCTTCTCTGATTCTCTCAAACCTTTGTGTATTTNGTACAGAGCACATGCGATGGACATGCGTGTGAGATGCGAGGGTGGATATGCTCTGAAGCTCCTGTGAATATCCTTAGTACATCCACACGTATTTTACTTGCATGTCAGCCGGATTTGAAAAAAGCGCCAATGATGCCAAACTCTCCCGTTCAAGTGCATGATGTAGCCGCTCGTTTTGGCGCAGTGACGCATCATGTACGTGCAATTCGAGCTTGATATGAGGTGCTGTTGCATAGAACTTTGCTGCTATCAATTTTTTTTAAATACAGATTTGTTCCCCAAGCCTTTAGGTTTATATGTTTTCAGTACTCGACCATGCAGCCTTGTTACTAGAAATGGACGTGTTTGTTATTTCGTTAGTTGCAAGGGCACTATATGTTTGATGATAATCGTACCTTGGGGTTCAGATATCTCCAATGTTGGAAATTGGGGGTTGAATAGCGTAACGAAACACGGCAATTATCTTAAGTCATCCGCCTAGGCCTCACATTGCCATATGTACCGTAAGGAATCGGCCTCAAGTTAGGCCTATAGTTGGCCTACTGGAAATATCAACTTCAGTCTTGCTAACACTTCAGTCTTTGACCATTTCGCTTGCTACTTACTTTAGATCTCATTCGTATGCGATGATTATTTTTCTCATGTGTTCATGGTTCTCAGTGGATAATGACATTTATTATATGGCCTCTTAGGTCCAATTTCAGTGTAAAAATGAACAGTCACAGTGCTCTCCAAATTCTGGATAGTGTTCTTTTTTACTTTATGGTAAAAAGTGATCACAACATTGGCCTCATCATCTGCAAGTGTCTGTCTTGGAAGGGTGAGACTGGTGATGATGGTGGACTTCTAGCTTCCAGTCAGAAAATAAGAACTCGACCCTCCAATTTCATGGCATCTAACAAGACATGATCATCATGCAGATTGCCAGGGGCCTCCATGATGTTAGATTCTTTTCTCTTCAGTAAGAATGTTTTCCCACTTGCTATAGAGTAGATGTATATCATACCTAATGTCTCCATTCATTCTTACCTCATGAGGTGTTGAGAAGGTTTGTCACATGGTAGTCTAATGGTATCTGTGATACCTGTCTTTCATACTGCACTGATTTTGTGACAGGTAATGAATTGGTCCCTCATTGTAAGCACACTGTGGTCAAGCCATCTTTTGCGTTCTTGTTTCATATTACCTCAGAAAGCAGCAATTGGAAGTATGGATATTGCCATCAACCTGATAATCAGTTTCTCATGTTCATGATGGTTCTACACTGCCTCTTGAAGAAATCTGGAGAGCAGAGGAGATGAGACCTAGGCCTTATGTAGTTTGCCAACTGGCCAAGCCCACTGCCCTACATACCTAGATGATGAAATGCTACATGTAAGGTTTGTGCTCTCTGACCCAAGGCATCCACACCTGAAGGAATCCTTCTCCAAAGTGAATCTGCTGCACCTGAAGGTACTTATTTTTTTGTCAGGATCATGTTCTCTTACTGAAGTCAGCTAAAGTCTTCTTAACAAATTGCAAAAAATGGACCAAAAATTGAGTGCATTCTATGTCTCACTGAAGTGAATGAATTGCTCTACATCCTACAACTCTCTATCACTCAGCACTTCCAAGAGAATCTTGAACACTAATGGAATCTGGTTCATATATCAAGGATAAAATCATTTCTATGAGAAAACCTGTCAAAATGATAGGAAAAAGTTAAATCTCTAACTCTTTTCCCGATTCCCACCACAAGTACGGGGTCTCCCGAGTTATAATTTGAATTTTCAGTTACAGTTACTTGAAAGAGGTCTATTACGAAGTGGCCCATCTTGTACACAATAAAAGAAACAAGCATGTTATCAGACTCCATTCATTTTCAGCTTGTGGTTTGGATATAGCTAACAAATGTCAATATCTTTTTACAGGCCTAATGTCTTGAAGAGGCTGAGCTCTGTAACCTCTGGATGATACATAGCTGTACAGGATCAGCCTGAAGATGAAGATCATCTGTATCACGTCTCCTACAAGTTGGCATTGAACTGGTGTCATAATTCCCACTGGACTACATGCATTTGGTGAGGGTTTCGAAGGTTTCACAAATTATTCTGAAATATAGGCCTGTAGATAACAGTTTTTAGCTTCCAACAAAGTCTCAGAGTCACATGTTTGGAATGTTTCTACATTGTCATTCATCTGGTGATCACTGTCATTCCCTCATGTCCCATCTCATACATCAGGATACTCTTATTCTTGACTAAGGTTTGCCTGGGAGTTATGAGGAGACATTTGCCATGCTGGTGTGGAGATCAGGGCTGCAGAAAAGCATGTCATTGGTCTCAGTTGGCCCTACTGGATTCTCAACTCCTCAGATGTAGAGGTGTGTCTTGTATGGCATTTCAATATTTTGCCTTTTCCATGTGGCCCAGCTGTTCCTATTTATAAATATTGACTTTTGTTTCCTCTTGACAGGCATCAATTGCTCTTGGCTGTGAATTCGTAAAGTTTCATAATGAGGCATGCATTAAAGTTCTGTTTTTATTGTGCCTATTGCTAAAGAATTTGTAAATCTTCTTGATACTTATATTCAGTTTCACATTGTGCATCGGTCAAAAGGGAGCACTTCAATTTTCACCCCATACAAGAAGTAACTGAAATTAGCAAGAAATCAGTTGTTAATATGTGATTCCCAATGAAGGAAGTCTTCCTTCTCTGATTCTCTCAAACCTTGGTGTATTTTGAAGCAGTGAATGTTTGCATCTCATCAACAGGTATCCTACTTGCAAGGGATTAGAGACAGTTCTATTGGAGAGAAAACATGCAGCATCCTGAAGGCGAGATTTGTGACGAGATTGGAAACCTTTCAGCTGAGAGGACAGAAAGGGAAAGCACAGGTTTGAAGTCCTTCCACTGTACATTGCTTTTATCAATGAGTATAACTCCTTGTGTATTCTTAATCTCAGTTTTGATTTTCCTGTAGATATATTTCTTTGGGTGGGGGGGAATATCATGCAAGGGCCCCTTTTGAGGGGACATGAGGGATCATGGTGTTTTTTCAAGATGATCCTTGTAATCTCAATAGAGTTCATGAGGGAAAAAAAGAAAGTTATTTCTTCATAGAAGCTTGTTATCACATAAAACATCATGGGACTTCAGTTTGACTTTGAGAGAAATAGCTGAGCAATAGAACTAGTTAACATTATTCATTTGTAACTATTCAAAAGTCATTCATATTGATTCATGTATTGAAATTCATTGTTTCTTATTTGGAAAGAAAAGTACATAACTTTGTCCTGAAGATATAGCTGTGAAAGTTCATGGTTGGTGCACTGCATTCAATATCAGGGTGAAGGCATAACACCTTGTGTGAAATCACATATACCAGGAAATATAGACAGGAATATCCTTTTTGCTCCTATCATATGTACAAGTCACAAGGTTTCATGTAAAACCACATTGAGGAACATAAAAGGGGTCTGAGAACCCAGTAGATTTGTGTATTAAAATATGAACCTGATAATTGTAATTTGATCAATGTGGGGACTTTCCAACCTTAAAACAGGAATGCAGTGAAAAATTAGGAAACCTTATAAATTTCACCTCTCCATGGAGCTCTCCCTTAAAAAATGAATCAGATTATGTTATGGTTGTAGACCAGTACAATACATGGCCAGCTGACCAGAATTTCAACCTAAACTGCATCCCATATAATGTCCCCAGTGAGTTTCATATTTTTGGATATTGTTTAGCACTAACTGCAAAATCCTATGAACCCCTCTCACAATGACTCATAAATGTTTCAAAATATTTTATACCACTCCTATGGTAGGGTGACATGGCAGATAGGAGTTGAAGTTCACAATGCATAGTACATGATATAGAATTCAAGAAGCACCTGGTATTATATCTTATGGATTTATGTTTTTTTTGTAGTTGCTCTGTGGAGAAACGAGCCCTACTTGATGTCACCGAAATGATCATAAAAGCCGAGTCAACGGTCGAGGAGAAGGAGGCCAAGGGGATGATCATCTGCATAGATAGGGAGTTGAATGTGAGAGTAACTGAAGATATAAGGCTACTTTCCATTAAGAATGAATAAATGGATTAATGAATCTCCAATCACTTTTTGCTGTGTTCACTCTCACCAGGATTAATAAAACTCTCCCCATTATATTATTTCAATATGGTAAATTATCTTTATTCACATCATTGAAATATCAAAACAATATGCAACTAGGTTTCCTATTCATACCAGCAGATGGTTCTTGGATTTACATGAATAGCAAAATCACCTTTTGATAGCAATGTGCATCCAGCTCACCATTTCAATAGCACTTAAATGCACATGTCCATATCAGCACTATACATAAGATCAACACTATACATACCTGAGATCATAAAAATGAGACAAAACTTCTAAAACTTTAGATAGACACTTCATATTTTTTATTAAATTACTCAAAAAACCGGGAGAATTACGAAAACGACTGCATCCACCTGAACCTATGGTCCGCGGCAACTATGAAACTATTTTCAAAGGCAGAAACGAAGCTAAATCCGAAGTCCCCTGCTTCTGATGCTGCATCGGAGCAAGAATATCGCTACGAAGGAAGGATATAAAATATCCGTGAAAATGCACCACACTTCCACCAAGAAGTATCACAATGGGCGAAATATTTTCAAAGGGAGCAACGAAGCTAAATCCGAAGTCCCCTGCCTCCGATGCAGCATCGGAGCAAGAAAATTGCTATGACACAAAGAACCGAAAAATCCCCGGAAATGCATCGCACTGCCACCAAGTATCACAATGGGCGAAACATTTTCTATTCGTTGGAAGAAGCTAAAACCGAGGTCCCCTGCCTCCGATGCAGCATCGCAGCAAGAAAATTGCAATGAACAAAAGAACAAAATAATCCCCGGAAATGCATCGCACTTCCACCAAGTATCACAATGGGCAAAACATTTTCTATTCGTCGGAAGATGGTAAAACCGAGGTCGCCTGCCCTTGTTGCAGCATCGGAGCTAGAAAATTGCTATGAAACAAAGAACCGAAAAATCCCCGGAAATGCATCGCACTGCCACCAAGTATCACAATGGG